ATTTGGAATCCTGGGTTGTAATTGGTACTTCCCTATATATATTATATATATATATATATATATATATATATATATATATATATATATATATATATATATATATATATATATATATATATATATATATATATAATATAGCAATCTGCAGAATGGCCGGGGATCGATCCCATGCTACTTTGCATCGCCTCGTGGGAAGCAAATCAAAGTTAGAATGCTATCAGCCAAAGAAAATAAACTATTAATTTTACCAAAGACGGTAATTAGTCATAAGATGGAGTGCCACTGTAAATCCAAGGAAATTTGTGCACACCATGTTTAGTGAGTGATGGTGGAGACTGCACTATCATGAGTGATGGTGGAGACTGCACTATCATGAGTGATGGTGGAGACTGCACTATCATGAGTGATGGTGGAGACTGCACTATCATGAGTGATGGTGGAGACTGCACTATCATGAGTGATGATGGAGACTGTACTATCATGAGTGATGGTGGAGACTGTACTATCATGAGTGATGGTGGAGACTGTACTATCATGAGTGATGATGGAGACTGTACTATCATGAGTGATGGTGGAGACTGTACTATCATGAGTGATGATGGAGACTGCACAATCATGAGTGATGGTGGAGACTGCACTATCATGAGTGATGGTGGAGACTGCACTATCATGAGTGATGTGGAGACTGTACTATCATGAGTGATGATGGAGACTGCACAATCATGAGTGATGGTGGAGACTGCACTATCATGAGTGATGGTGGAGACTGCACTATCATGAGTGATGTGGAGACTGTACTATCATGAGTGATGATGGAGACTGCACAATCATGAGTGATGGTGGAGACTGCACTATCATGGATGATGGTGGAGACTGCACTATCATGAGTGATGTGGAGACTGCACTATCATGAGTGATGGTAGAGACTGCACTATCATGAGTGATGGTGGAGACCGCACTATCATGAGTGATGGTGGAGACTGCACTCTCATGAGTGATGGTGGAGACTGCACTATCATGAGTGATGGTGGAGACTGCACTCTCATGAGTGATGGTGGAGACTGTACTATCATGAGTGATGGTGGAGACTGCACTATCATGAGTGATGGTGGAGACTGCACTCTCATGAGTGATGGTGGAGACTGCACTATCATGAGTAGTGATGGAGACTTCACTATCATGAGTAGTGATGGAGACTGCACTATCATGAGTAGTGATGGAGACTGCACTATCATGAGTAGTGATGGAGATTGCACTATCATGAGTAGTGATGGAGACTGCACTATCATGAGTAGTGATGGAGATTGCACTATCATGAGTAGTGATGGAGACTGCACTATCATGAGAAGTGATGGAGACTGCACTATCATGAGTAGTGATGGAGATTGCACTATCATGAGTAGTGATGGAGACTGCACTATCATGAGTAGTGATGGAGACTGCACTATCATGAGTAGTGATGGAGACTGCACTATCATGAGTAGTGATGGAGATTGTACTATCATGAGTAGTGATGGAGACTGCACTATCATGAGAAGTGATGGAGACTGCACTATCATGAGTAGTGATGGAGATTGCACTATCATGAGTAGTGATGGAGACTGCACTATCATGAGTAGTGATGGAGACTGCACTATCATGAGTAGTGATGGAGATTGCACTATCATGAGTAGTGATGGAAACTGCACTAACATAAGTAATGACGGAGAATGTACTATCATGAGTGATGGTAGAGACTAAACTCTAATGAGTGTTGCTGGAGACTGTTCTGTCATGAGTAATGGTGCAGACTGCACTATCATGAGTGATGGTGAAGACTCTGCTATCTCAATGAGTAATGGTGGAGACTGCACTATCAAGAGTGATGGTGGAGACTGTACTATCATGAGTAATGGTGGAGACTGCACTATCATGAGTGATGGTGGAGACTGCACTCTCATGAGTGATGGTGGAGACTGTACTATCATGAGTAATGGTGGAGACTGCATTATCATGGGTGATGGTGGAGACTGCACTCTCATGAGTGATGGTGGAGACTGCACTCTCATGAGTGATGGTGGAGGACTGCATCTCTCATGAGTTATGGTGGAGACTGCACTCTCATTAGTGATGGTGGAGACTGCACTCTCATGAGTGATGGTGGAGACTGCACTATCATGAGTGATGGTGGAGACTGCACTCTCATGAGTGATGGTGGAGACTGCACTCTCATGAGTGATGGTGGAGACTGCACTCTCATGAGTTATGGTGGAGACTGCACTATCATGAGTTATGGTGGAGACTGCACTCTCATGAGTGATGGTGGAGACTGCACTCTCATGAGTTATGGTGGAGACTGCACTCTCATGAGTTATGGTGGAGACTGCACTATCATGAGTTATGGTGGAGACTGCACTCTCATGAGTGATGGTGGAGACTGCACTCTCATGAGTGATGGTGGAGACTGCACTCTCATGAGTGATGGTGGAGACTGCACTCTCATGAGTGATGGTGGAGACTGCACTCTCATTAGTGATGGTGGAGACTGCACTATCATGAGTTATGGTGGAGACTGCACTCTCATTAGTGATGGTGGAGACTGCACTCTAATGAGTGATGGTGGAGACTGCGCTATCATGAGTTATGGTGGAGACTGCACTCTAATGAGTGATGGTGGAGACTGCACTATCCTGAGTGATGGTGGAGACTGCACTCTAATGAGTGATGGTGGAGACTGCACTCTAATGAGTGATGGTGGAGACTGCGCTATCATGAGTTATGGTGGAGACTGCACTCTCATTAGTGATGGTGGAGACTGCACTCTAATGAGTGATGGTGGAGACTGCACTCTCATGAGTTATGATGGAGACTGCACTCTCATTAGTGATGGTGGAGACTGCACTCTAATGAGTGATGGTGGAGACTGCACTCTCATGAGTTATGGTGGAGACTGCACTCTCATTAGTGATGGTGGAGACTGCACTCTAATGAGTGATGGTGGAGACTGCGCTATCATGAGTGATGGTGGAGACTGCACTCTAATGAGTGATGGTGGAGACTGCGCTATCATGAGTGATGGTGGAGACTGCACTCTAATGAGTGATGGTGGAGACTGCACTATCCTGAGTGATGGTGGAGACTGCACTATCCTGAGTGATGGTGGAGACTGCACTATCTGAGTGATGGTGGAGACTGCACTATCCTGAGTGATGGTGGAGACTGCACTATCCTGAGTGATGGTGGAGACTGCACTATCCTGAGTGATGGTGGAGACTGCACTATCCTGAGTGATGGTGGAGACTGCACTATCCTGAGTGATGGTGGAGACTGTACTATCCTGAGTGATGGTGGAGACTGCACTATCCTGAGTGATGGTGGAGACTGTACTATCCTGAGTGATGGTGGAGACTGCACTATCCTGAGTGATGGTGGAGACTGCACTATCCTGAGTGATGGTGGAGACTGCACTATCCTGAGTGATGGTGGAGACTGTAACTATCCTGAGTGATGGTGGAGACTGCACTATCCTGAGTGATGGTGGAGACTGTACTATCCTGAGTGATGGTGGAGACTGTACTATCATGAGTTTAGTGTGATGAATGGTTTGAAAAACCGACAAGTTGAAGACTGAGACACTTATGCAGCATATGGGAAACTTTATTCAGGAAACGTTTCGCCACACAGTGGCTTCATCAGTCCAATACGAAGAGGAAGGCGTAAGGAGAGGAGGAGAATGAGGTAATCAGTCCCTCAACCTGGAGTCGATGTGTTCAGTCCATCAATCTCAGTCTTCATGAGTTTAGTCTTGTGAGTACCATTGTTTAGTTTTGGAAGAGAGTACCATTGTTTACTCTTGTGAGTGAGTATCATTGTGTAGTCTTGGGAAAGAGTACCATTGTGTAGTCTTGGGAGACAGTATCACTGTGTAGTCTAGGGCCGGAGTTACACTATTTACTGTCTGCTATTACATTTTCTGGTCTTCAAGTGTTGTAGTTTATTTGGATAATAGTTTATATTATTGTTTTGTTCCATAATTTTTTGCTCTGGACAAAACAGTTATTCTTTTATTTCTCTCTTTATCCTTAAGATGTAAATGGTTTAAATTTTGTTCACAAAAAATACCAACCCTTTGTCGCCAGTAAAATAGCCTTCTACTGTATGAAAACTTCTGGAGTCGCCCTTGCTTTTAAGGGCTGAGAGAAATTACTCCTGATCTGGTACTAACATGGTGTATCTTCCATTGGAAAGTGGAGGACATTATGGTACATGGAACTCTTTTGAAAAATCATATTTCCATGCTTCAGGGTTCTATTTTCTACGTTTTTTGCATAAATCACTGCAAGAAGAATGCGGATATCCACATCCACATCCACAGAACATCCATAGTTTCTTATATCGGCATTCATATTTTACTGTAAACAGATATCTACATCTGCAAAATAAGTAAGAGATCCTCATGCACATTTGCGTTAGCTGATATCTAAATTTACGCATCTGATACATATCTATAACGCAGGTCGTACCCACGACCATGACAGAAGCAGCTTAAGCAGTACACTCAAGTGCACTATGCCTTAAAATTTTGATCTGTCACCTGGAGATATAAAAGTTTCAGAAAAAACTGACGGAAGAATCAGTTGTCGCATATGAACGTCTCTGCTTTGTTCTCACTAAATTATAAATGTTATTCTTGATGTAGAACCGAATACAAGTAAAAACTTATACTTGAAACGAGATCCAGAATACATTGCACTGATGACTACTGTACGACCGAGAAATATTAAAGAATACAAGAAAACCTCTATATAAAGGATCTAAAAATTAAAGGATGTAGTCTATGGGCGGACGCCATCCTGAAGCAAGAGGAACAATCCACTAAATCCAATGTTGTTACGATGAACGAAAAACTCTCTCACCTTTCAGTTTTAAGCAAAACTGCTCTGCTAGCCTATTTATATTTCAATGCTCATATTACTTACAAATACAACTTAAAATATGTACCAACAAAGGTTTTCACTGACCTGAGGACATGGAGAGTTATTAAGAAGGTGAAGGGTAGTCTGTGAGCAGCAGCCAGACCACACACCACAGCTGAGTGAACCTCATTCACCAGAGACTCCCGCAATAGACTCAGTCGACGCTCTAATACTGAGCTCTTCCCGCTAAAAAAAATGATAAACCTTAGAAGAAGATTAGTGCTATTCACAGATACAGAAGGTTTTTAACATTCAAACATCTCAACTAACAAACATCTGCTGAGCTGTGTTAAAAACATGTGTCAAATGGTAAAAAAATGTCACATTAAAATTGGAGTTTCTCCTTTATGTTTAACAATGTACAGGTAACATAGATGTATTGCACATGACACACTCATCATCCACTATCATAGTGGCACATGGCACACTCATCACCCACTATCATAGTGGCACATGGCACACTCATCACCCACTATCATAGTGGCACATGGCACACTCATCATCCACTATCATAGTGGCACATGACACACTCATCATCCACTATCATAGTGGCACATGACACACTCATCATCCACTATCATAGTGGCACATGACACACTCATCATCCACTATCATAGTGGCACATGGCACACTCATCATCCACTATCATAGTGGCACATGGCACACTCATCATCCACTATCATAGTGGCACATGACACACTCATCATCCACTATTATCACAGTGGCACATGGCACACTCATCACCCACTATTATCACAGTGGCACATGGCACACTCATCACCCACTATTATCACAGTGGCACATGGCACACTCATCACCCACTATTATCACAGTGGCACATGGCACACTCATCACCCACTATTATCACAGTGGCACATGGCACACTCATCACCCACTATTATCACAGTGGCACATGGCACACTCATCATCCACTATTATCACAGTGGCACATGGCACACTCATCATCCACTATCATAGTGGCACATAGCACACTCATCACCCACTATTATCACAGTGGTACATGGCACACTCATCATCCACTATCATAGTGGCACATAGCACACTCATCACCCACTATTATCACAGTGGCACATGGCACACTCATCACCCACTATTATCACAGTGGCACATGGCACATTCATCATCCACTATTATCACAGTGGCACATGGCACACTCATCACCCACTATTATCACAGTGGCACATGGCACACTCATCACCCACTATTATCACAGTGGCACATGGCACACTCATCACCCACTATCATAGTGGCACATGGCACACTCATCACCCACTATTATCACAGTGGCACATGGCACACTCATCATCCACTATTATCACAGTGGCACATGGCACATTCATCATCCACTATTATCACAGTGGCACATGGCACATCTCACCCACTATTATCACAGTGGCACATGGCACATTTATCATCCACTATTACACAGTGGCACATGGCACACTCATCATCCACTATTATCACAGTGGCACATTCACACTCATCACCCACTATTAGACAGTGGCACTTTGGGACACTCTTCATCCACTATTATCACAGTGGCACATGGGACACTCATCATCCACTATTATCACAGTTGGCACATGGCACACTCCCTCATCCACTATTTCACAGTGGGACATGGCACACTCATCATCCACTATTATCACAGTGGCACATGGCCACTCATCATCCACTATTATCACATGGCACATGGCACATCATCACCCACTATTATTCACAGTGGCACATGGCACACTCATCATCCACTATTATCACAGTGGCACATGGCACATTCATCATCCACTATTATCACAGTGGCACATGGCACACTCATCATCCACTAAACATAGTGGCACATAGCACACTCATCACCCACTATTATCACAGTGGTACATGGCACACTCATCATCCACTATCATAGTGGCACATTAGACACTCATCACCCACTATTATCACAGTGGCACATGGCACACTCATCACCCACTATTATCACAGTGGCACATGGCACATTCATCATTCCACTATTATCACAGTGGCACTGGCACACTCATCACCACTATCATATGGGCACTAGCACACTCATCACCCACTATTATCACAGTGGTACATGGCACACTCATATCCACTATCATAGTGGCACTAGCACACTCATCACCCACTATTATCACAGTGGTACATGGCACACTCATCATCCCTATCATAGTGGCACATAGCACACTCATCATCCACTATTATCACAGTGGCACATTGGGACATTCATCATCCACTATTATCCAGTGGCACATGGCAATTTTATCATCCACTTTATCACAGTGGCCATGGCACACTCATCATCCCTATCTAGTGGCAACATGGCACACTCATCACCCACTATTATCACAGTGGGACATGGCAACTTATTTACCCACTATTATTCACAGTGGCACATGGCACACTCATCATCCATTATTACACAGTGGCACATGGGACACTCATCACCCACTATTATCAAGTGGCACATGGCACACTCATCACCCACTATTATCACAGTGGTACATGGCACACTCATAATCCACTATTATCACAGTGGCACATGGCACACTCATAATCCACTATTATCACAGTGGCACATGGCACACTCATCATCCAAATATATCAAGTGGCACATGGCACACTCATAATCCACTATTATTCCAGTGGCACATGGCACACTCATCACCCACTATTATCACAGTGGCACATAGCACACTCTTCATCCACTATTATCACAGTGGCACATGGCACACTCTTCATCCACTATCATAGTGGCACATGGCACACTCATCATCCACCATTATCACAGTGGCACACTCATCATCCACCATTATCACAGTGGCACACTCATCGTCCACCATTATCACAGTGGCACACTCATCATCCACTATTATCACAGTGGCACATGGCACACTCATCATCCACTATTATCATAGTGGCACATTACACACTCCCTCATCCCTATTATCACAGTGGCACATGGCACACTCATCACCACTATATCACAGTGACACATGGCACACTCATCCATCCACTATTATCACAGTGGCACATGGCACACTCATCATTCACTATTATCACAGTGGCACATGGCCCATTCATCATCCACTATTATGACAGTGGCACCCTGGCACAATCATCATCCACTATTATCACAGTGGACTGCACATTCATTAAACCACTATTATCACAGTGGCACATGGCACACTCATCACCCACTATTATGACAGTGGCACATGGCACACTCATCATCCACTATTATCACAGTGGCACATGGCACACTCATCATCCACTATTATCACAGTGGCACATGGCACACTCATCATCCACTATTATCACAGTGGCACATGGCACACTCATCATCCACTATTATGACAGTGGCACATAGCACAATCATCATCCACTATTATCACAGTGGCACATGGCACACTCATCATCCACTATTATCACAGTGACACATAGCACAATCATCATCCACTATTTTCACAGTGGCACATGGCACACTCATCCACTATTATCACAGTTGCACATGGCACACTCATCATCCGCTATCATCACAGTGGCACATGCATACCATCATCCCATTCTTTCACAGTGGCACCCTGGCATATCATCATCCACTTCTTTCACAGTGGCACATGGCACACTCATCATCCACTTCTTTCACAGTGGCACATGGCATACTCATCATCCACTTCTTTCACAGTGGCACATGGCACACTCATCATCCACTATCATAGTGGCACATAGCACAATCATCATCCACTATTATCACAGTGGCACATGGCACACTCATCATCCACTATTATCACAGTGGCACATGGCACACTCATCATTCACTATCATAGTGGCACATAGCACAATCATCATCCACTATTATCACAGTGGCACATGGCACACTCATCATCCACTATTATCACAGTGGCACATGGCACACTCATCATCCACTATTATCACAGTGGCACATGGCACATTCATCATCCACTTTATCACAGTGGCACTGGCACAATCATCATCCACTATTATCACAGTGGCACATGGGACACTCACATCCACTATTATCACAGTGGCACATGGCACACTCATCATCCACTATTATCACAGTGGCACATGGCACACTCATCATCCACTATTATCACAGTTGCACATGGCACACTCATCATCCGCTATCATCACAGTGGCACATGGCATACTCATCATCCACTTCTTTCACAGTGGCACATGGCATACTCATCATCCACTTCTTTCACAGTGGCACATGGCACACTCATCATCCACTTCTTTCACAGTGGCACATGGCATACTCATCATCCACTTCTTTCACAGTGGCACATGGCACACTCATCATCCACTATCATAGTGGCACATAGCACAATCATCATCCACTATTATCACAGTGGCACATGGCACACTCATCATCCACTATTATCACAGTGGCACATGGCACACTCATCATCCACTATCATAGTGGCACATAGCACAATCATCATCCACTATTATCACAGTGGCACATGGCACACTCATCATCCACTATTATCACAGTGGCACATGGCACACTCGTCATCCACTATTATCACAGTGGCACATGGCACATTCATCATCCACTATTATCACAGTGGCACATGGCACACTCATCATCCACTTTATCACAGTGGGACATGGCACATTCATCATCCCTATTATCACAGTGGCACATGGCACACTCATCATCCACTATTTATCACAGTGGCACATGGCACACTCATCATCCACTATTATCACAGTGGCACATGGCACACTCATCATCCACTATTACACAGTGGCACATGGCACATTCATCATCCACTATTTATCACTGTGGCACATGGCACACTCATCTTTCCCCTATTATCACAGTGGCACATGGACACTCACATCCACTATTATCACAGTGGCACATGGCACATCTCACCCACTATTATCACAGTGGCACATGGCACACTCATCATCCACTATTATCACAGTGGCACATGGCACACTCATCACCCACTATTATCACAGTGGCACATGGCACACTCATCACCCACTATTATCACAGTGGCACATGGCATACTCATCATCCACTTCTTTCACAGTGGCACATGGCAAACTCATCATCCACTTCTTTCACAGTGGCACATGGCACATTCATCATCCACTATTATCACAGTGGCACATGGCACATTCATCATCCACTATTATCACAGTGGCACATGGCACACTCATCATCCACTATTATCACAGTGGCACATGGCACATTCATCATCCACTATTATCACAGTGGCACATGGCACACTCATCATCCACTATTATCACAGTGGCACATGGCACACTCATCATCCACTATTATCACAGTGGCACATGGCACACTCATCATCCACTATTATCACAGTGGCACATGGCACATTAAACATCCACTATTATCACTGTGGCACATGGCACCTCATCATCCACTTTATCACAGTGGCACATGGCACACTTTATCATCCACTATTATCACAGTGGCACATGGCACACTCATCACCCACTATTATCACAGTGGCACATGGCACACTCATCATCCACTATTATCACAGTGGCACATGGCACACTCTCAAACCCCCCTATTATCACAGTGGCACATGGCACACTCATCACCCACTATTATCACAGTGGCACATGGCATACTCATCATCCACTTCTTTCACAGTGGCACATGGCAAACTCATCATCCACTTCTTTCACAGTGGCACAAAGGGACATATCATCCACTTCTTTTACAGTGGCACATGGCATACTCATCATCCACTTTCTTTCACATGTGGGCACATGGCAATTTCTCATCATCCACTTTTTTCACAGTGGCACATGCATACTCATCATCCACTTCTTTCACAGTGGCACATGGCATACTCATCATCCACTTCTTTCACAGTGGCACATGGCACACTCATCATCCACTTCTTTCACAGTGGCACATGGCACACTCATCATCCACTTCTTTCACAGTGGCACATGGCACACTCATCATCCACTTCTTTCACAGTGGCAGATTTGACTGAAAATATGTTGTCAGAAAACTTAAAGAAAATGTTGAAACTGACAAAATATGTGTTATATTGATACCCAGTAAGTGCAATGATCAATATATAATTCCTCATCACTGCTCTCATTTCATGGTGAAGGGCTCCTGATCCAGGGAACAGGAGCGACTCCTCAAATCCTCCCATTCTTCAGGCGATCTTTGTCCCCTATGGATTTAGCGCTTACCCTGACACAACCACAGCTGTCTCTCGTCTTGGGAGGAGACGGCCAGAGAGGTTAAAAAAAATTTATAAAACGTCTTCTATACTTACGTATTCTCTATAACGGAGATATATAGATTAATGTACCAGCTTAACGAGAACTGGTACATATGAGAGAGTGCATTAAGACTCGTCAGAGTGATGTAGAGTGCAGCTGCAGGCTTGGACACAGCTTCATACTGCTGACAGCACAGCAGCAGTGCAGCTTCTGTCTCTACGCACTGCTCTTCTTTATGTTTGATCTCGTCAGACATTTTCTGAAAATTAAAGATATTACTAGACGTATTTCAGTTGCTGCGTTACGAGGGATAGATTTCCCCGTATTCGATAAGCCCAGCCTGGTCTACCTCAGTGAAGCAAAGGTGGTCAGAAATACTGGAGGATGTTCTGAAATATTGGAGGGTTGTCATAATTATTGGAAGATGGTCAGAAATATTGGAGGGTGGTCAGAAATATTGGAGGGTGGTAAGAAATATAGGATGGTGGTCAGAAATATTGAAAGGTGGACAGAAACATTTGAGGGTCTTCAGAAATATTGGATGGAGGTCAGAAATATTGGAGGATATCAGAAACATTTAAGGGTGGTCAGAAATATTGGAGGATGGTCAGAAATATTGATGGGTAGTCATAAATACTGGAGGGAGGTCAGAAATATTGGAGAGTCGTCAGAAATATTGGAGGGTGGTCAGAAATACTGGAAGGAGGTCAGAAATATCGGAGGGCGGTTAGAAATATTGGAGGGAGGCCACAAATATTGAAGAGAGATCAGAAATATTGGAGGGAGATCAGAAATATTGAGGGTGGTCAGAAATATTGGAGGGAGGTCAGAAATATTGGAGGGAGGTCAGAAATATGGGAGGGAGGTCAGAAATATTGGAAGGTGGTCAGAAATATTGGAGGGTGATCAGAAATATTGGAGGGAGGTCAGAAATATTGGAGGGAGGTCAGAAGTGTTAGAGGGAGGTCAGAATTATTGGAGGGAGGTCAGATATATTGGAGGGAGGTCAGAAATATTGGAGGGTGATCAGAAATATTAGAGGGTGGTCAGAAATATTGGAGGGTGGTCAGAAATACTGGAAGGAGGTAAGAAATATTGGAAGAAGGTCAGAAATGTTGAAGGGAAGTCAGAAATATTGTAGGGGGGTCAGAAATATTGGAGAGAGGTCAGAAATACTGGAGGGAGGTGAGAAATATTGGAGAGAGGGGAGAAATATTGGATGGAGCTGAGAAATATTGAAGTGTGGTCAGAAATATTGGAGGGTGGTCAGAAATATTGGAGGGAGGTGATAAATATTGGAGGGTGGTCAGAAATATTGGAGGGAGGTGATAAATATTGGAGGGTGGTCAGAAATATTGGAGTGAGGTGAGAAATATTGAATGGAGGTGAGAAATATTGGGGGGTGGTCAGAAATATTGGAGGAGGTGAGAAACATTGGAGGGAGGTGAGAAATATTGGAGGGTGGTCAGAAATATTGGAGAGTAGTCAGAAATATTGGAGAGTGGTCAGAAATAATGGAGGGAGGTCAGAAATATTGAAGGGAGGTCAGAAACATTGGAGGGAGGTCAGAAATGCTGGAGGGAGGTGAGAAATATTGGAGGGAGGTGAGAAATATTGGAGGAAGGACAGAAATATTGGAGGGAGGTCAGAAATATTGGAGGGAGGTCAGAAATATTTGAGGGAGGTCAGAAATATTGGAGGGAGATCAGAAATATTGGAGTGAGGTCAGAAATATTGGAGGGAGGTCAGAAATGTTAGAGGGAGGTCAGAAATATTGGAGGGAGATCAGAAATATTGGAGGGAGGTCATAAATATTGGAGGGTGATCAGAAATATTGGAGGGTGGTAAGAAATATTGGAGGGAGGTAAGAAATATTGGAGGTAGGTCAGAAATGTTGGAGGGAAGTCAGAAATATTGGAGAGTGGTCAGAAATATTGGAGGGTTGTCAGAAATATTGGAGGGAGGTGAGAAATATTGGAGGGTGGTCAGAAATATTTGAGCGAGGTGAGAAATATTGGAGGGTGGTCAGAAATATTGGAGGGTGGTCAGAAATATTGGAGGGTGGTCGGAAATTTTGGAGGGAGGTCAGAAATATTGGAGGGAGGTCAGAAATAATGGAGTGAGGTCAGAAATATTGGAGGGTGATCAGAAATAATGGAGGGTGGTCAGAAACATTGGAGGGTGGCCAAAAATATTGGAGGGAGGTCAGAAATATTGGTGGGAGGTCAGAAATGTCGGATGGAAGTCAGAAATATTGTAGGGGGGTCAGAAATAATTGTAGAATGGTCAGATATATTGGACGGAGGTGAGAAATATTGGATGGTGATCAGAAATATTGGAGGGAGTTGAGAAATATTGGAAGGATGTGAGAAATATTGGAGGGTGGTCAGAAATAACGGAGGGTGGTCAAAAATATTGGAGGGAGGTCAGAATATTGGAGGGAGGTCAGAAATGTTGGTGGGAAGTCAGAAATATTGTAGGGGGGTCAGAAATATTGGAGAGTGGTCAGAAATATTGGAGGGAGGTGAGAAATATTGGAGGGAGGTGAGAAATATTGGATGGAGCTGAGAAATATTGAAGTGTGGTCAGAAATATTGGAGGGTGGTCAGAAATATTGGAGGGTGGTCAGAAATATTGGAGGGAGGTGATAAATATTGGAGGGAGGTGAGAAATATTGGAGGGTGGTCTGAAATATTGGAGGGAAGTCAGAAATATTGGAGGGAAGTCAGAAATATTGGAGGGTGGTCAAAAATTTTGGAGGGTGGTCAGACACATTGAAGGGTGATCAGAAATATTAGATGGAGGTCAGAAAACTGTAATGAAGAAAAATATAAATATGTATACGTGTGTGTATGTGTGTGCGTACAACTTTCTGCACATTTATGCACTTTCTTACTTAAATAGTATATGTGTATATGTATTTATGTAGGTATGTATTCATATGTGTATTTACATACGTATTTATTATTATTATCACACTGGCCGATTCCCACCAAGGCAGGATGGCCCGAAAAAGAAAAACTTTCACCATAATTCACTCAATCACTGTCTTGCCAGAAGGGTGCTTTACACTACAGTTTTTAAGCTGCAACATTAACACCCCTCCTTCAGAGTGCAGGCACTGTACTTCCCATCTCCAGGACTCAAGTCCGGCCTGCCAGTTTCCCTGAACCCCTTCATAAATGTTACTTTGCTCACACTCCAACAGCACGTCAAGTATTAAAAACCATTTGTCTCCATTCACTACTATCAAACACGCTCACGCATGCCTGCTGGAAGTCCAAGCCCCTCGCACACAAAAACCTCCTTTACCCCCTCCCTACAACCTTTCCTAGGCCGACTCCTACCCCACCTTACTTCCACTACAGACTGATACGCTCTTGAAGTCATTCTGTTTCGCTCCATTCTCTCTACATGTCCGAATCACCTCAAAAACCCTTCCTCAGCCCTCTGGACAACAGTTTTGGTAATCCCACACCTCCTCCTAACTTCCAAACTACGAATTCTCTGCATTATATTCACACCACACATTGCCCTCAGACATGACATCTCCACTGGCTCTAGCCTTCTCCTTGCTGCAACATTCATCACCCATGCTTCACACCCATATAAGAGCGTTGGTAAAACTATGCTCTCATACATTTCCCTCTTTGCCTCCAAGGACAAAGTTCTTTGTCTCCACAGACTCCTAAGTGCGCCACTCACCCTTTTCCCCTCATCAATTCTATGATTCACCTCATCATCCATACACCCATCCGCTGACACGTCCACTCACAAATATCTGAATACATTCTCCTCCTCCATACTCTCTCCCTCCAATCTGATAGCCAATCTTTCATGACCTAATCTTTTTGTTATCCTCATAACCTTACTGTTTCCTGTATTCACTTTCAATTTTCTTCTTTTGCATACCCTACCAAGTTCATCCACCAATCTCTGCAACTTCTCTTCAGAATCTCCCAAGAGCACAGTGTCATCACCAAAGAGCAACTGTGACAACTCCCACTTTGTGTGTGATTCTTTATCTTATAACTCCACGCCTCTTGCCAAGACCCTCGCATTTGCTTCCCTTACAACCCCATCTATAAATATATTAGACAACCACGGTGACATCACACATCCTTGCCTAAGGCCTACTTTTACTGTGAAATAATTTCCCTCTTCCCTACATACTCTAACTTGAGCCTCACTATCCTCGTAAAAACTCTTCATTGCTTTCAGTAACCTACCTCCTACACCATACACCTGCAACATCTGCCACATTGCCCCCCTATCCACCCTGTCATACGCCTTTTCCAAATCCATAAATGCCACAAAGACCTCTTTAGCTTACCTAAATACTGTTCACTTATATGTTTCACTGTAAACACCTGGTCCACACACCCCCTACCTTTCCTAAAGCCTCTTTGTTCATCTGCTATCCTATTCTCCGTCTTACTCTTAATTCTTTCAAAAATAACTCTACCATACACTTTACCAGGTATACTCAACAGACTTATCCCCCTATAATTTTTGCACTCTCTTTTATCCCCTTTGCCTTTATACAAAGGAACTATGCATGCTCTCTGCCAATCCCTAGGTACCTTACCCTCTTCCATACATTTATTAAATAATTGCACCAACCACTCCAAAACTATATCCCCACCTGCTTTTAACATTTCTATCTTTATCCCATCAATCCAGGCTGCCTTACCCCCTTTCATTTTACCTACTGCCTCACGAACTTCCCCCACACTCACAACTGATTCTTCCTCACTCCTACAAGATGTTATTCCTCCTTGCCCTATACACAAAATCACCGCTTCCCTATCTTCATCAACATTTAACAATTCCTCAAAATATTCCCTACATCTTCCCAGTACCTCTAACTCTCCATTTATAACTTTCTTCTCCTATTTTTAACTGACAAATCCATTTGTTCTTTAGGTTTCCTTAACTTGTTAATCTCACTCCATAACTTTTTCTTATTTTCAACAAAATTTGTTGATAACATCTCACCTACTCTCTCATTTGCTCTCTTTTTACATTGCTTCACCACTCTCTTAACCTCTCTCTTTTTCTCCATATACTCTTCCCTCCTTGCATCACTTCTACTTTGTAAAAACTTCTCATATGCTAACTTTTTCTCCTTTACTACTCTCTTTACATCATCATTCCACCAATCGCTCCTCTTCCTCCGGCACCCACTTTCCTGTAACCACAACTTCTGCTGAACACTCTAACACGACATTTTTAAACCTACCCCATACCTCTTCGACT